CAGCAGCAGCAGCAGCAGCAGCAGCAGCAGCAGCAGCAGCAGCAGCAGCAGCAGCAGCAGCAGACCTGTAAGCCCAGAGTAGATTTTTTTCTTCTCTCGTTGCTGTCCCTGTAGAGCCCCCACCAAAGAAGGAGCGCTGAAAGGCCCGCGTTACTGCAGCAGGAGGCAGCTGGCCTGCTGCTGCTGCTGCTGCTAGACAAACACCAAACAGCAGCAGCAACAGCAGCAGCAGCAGCAGCAACAGCAGCAGCAGTGACACAGCATATGACAGCCACATACAGAGCCCCCACAGCCGCATGCAGCAGCAGCAACAACAGCAACGACGAAAGCAATAGCAGCAGCAACAGCAGCAGCAGCACCACCACCACCACCAGCAGCACCACCAGCAGCACCACCAGCACCATCAGCATCACCAGGAGCAGCAACCCCAGCAGCAACCCCAGCAGCAACCCCAGCAGCAGCGGCAGCAGCAGCAACACCAACAGCAGCAGCAGCAGCAACCCCAGCAGCAGCAACCCCAGCAGCAGCAACCCCAGCAGCAGCAACCCCAGCAGCAGCAGCAGCAGCAGCAGCAGCATACACGAGGAGGAGTGTAGAGGGGGCCGGACGGCTCTTGCTGCAGCAGGATGGGTGACGCCCCAGGCGGGGTCCCGCAGCAGCAGCCGCCGCTGCAGCCGCTCAGCTACTGAGGGGTTGCGCAGCAGCAGCTTCCAGTTCTGCTGCTGCTGCTGCTGCTGCTCCTCCTGCTGCTCCTCCTGCTGCTGCTGCTGCTGCTCCTGCTGCTGCTGCTGCGGGCCGTAGTCATCCGGTATCAACGTAGTTGCTGCTGCTCCTCCTTGGAACGAATCTGCTGCAGCAGCAACTGCAGCAGCAACTGCAGCAGAACTCGCTTCTCCGCTAGCACCCGTTCCTGCTGCTGCTGCTGCTGCTGCTGCTGCTGCTTCGGCAGCATCTGCTGCTCCAGGCTGGATCTGCTCGGGTCTGTCTCTGCTGTCTTCAGCTGCAGCGTTGGTGTGCCCTTCACATCCTGCTGCTGCTGCTGCTGCTGCTGCTTCTGCTGCTGCTGCTGCTGCTGCTCCTGCGGTGATAGGGGCCAGAGGAGGAATGCCCCAAGTCCTGCTCAGCCAGTTACGGGGGGCAGGACTTGCTGCTGCTGCTGCTGCTGCTGCTGCTGCTGCTGCTGCTGTTTCTGTTTCTGCCGTGTCTGTGCCTGCTGCTGCTCCTGTTGCTGCTGCTGCTGCTGTTGTGCGTGCTGCAGCAGCAGCTTCTGTCTGTCTACTCTGGGGCCGCTGCTGTTGCTGCTGCTGCTGCTGCATCTGTTCAGCTCTCAGCTGCTGCCGCC